TGCTTTGTTAAATTTTTAATTTCTTTGCTGTAGCTGATATTTTCGCCTACTTGGTTTTTTTTTATTGTAACGTGTTGATTGTCATTTTTCATTCTAAAAGTTTAATAAATAAATAATCAAAAAAAATTTATTTAAATAGGGAATCCTGCTAATGTTGTTTTTTTATTATCCGAATAATTTAAAACAGGATCTTTATTGTCGGAATGTTTCATGAAGCTTCTTAAAAATAATTGAATTCCATTGAAGCTCAACTTTAAATTTTGTTAACTCGTTTTAATTCTACCTATAAAAACATAAAAACAATTGGCTACCAGCAAACATATTTGAACAATCCAATTTGTTTCCACATTTTGGATTTCCCCGTTTCTTATTGATGAAACCTTTTCTTATTATAAAAATTCATACTAAAATTTAATATGATGGATGACTAAGTCTCCGAACAAAACAACGAAACTCGAACTGATTCTAATCGAATATTAAATAAATTAACCCAATGATTAAATAATTAATCCAATGAAAATTCTTTGTTTCGGTCAATTATCTTATGCGTCTCACTCATCCTACAAAAACTTATGTGTGAATAGGCACTAAATACATACGGAATATACACATAGAAAAATGAACTTTCCCGGAACATAGTAGATTAACATTAAGATGTTTCTACGTGTTTTCCGTATTAAAATTCATTTTCGTTACCGTGTACAGAATGAGCTTGAACAATAGTAATAGAAAAAGGACCATAACGTGAAAAGGACAATCTTAACTATTTCTATTACTATATATTAATATAATTCTTTATCTAGAACGGTTTTTCTTAGAAACCACACCCATAATATTGCTCTCAAAAGTAAATCTTTTTTTCGAAACATCATTTTCACGTTATTGTCCTTTTTATTGTCCAGACCAAAAATACTCCGCGCTAATTTCTACATTAGTATATATGTATTTCATTATCATATCAAAATGCGTTCATTCCGTATCAAAATTACGTTTTCCCGCGTGCATTCTTCCGCATTTATTCAGCACTTACTAATTTTTTTATATGGGCATAGATTTGTTGACATGATGTTTGACTGTCTGTATTTGAATTATTGTAGTTATAAGCACATTTTATTTTATTATCAATTTAAAAGTCCGGTTTGATTCGAATCGCTTTAAAATTCGATTTGTTTGAAGCCTTACATGTTTGTGTGTGAGGCGGTTTCTGAATTTTTTTTTGTAGGTTTTGATAAAAATTATCAAATCACAAGAACCACCAATTCTATCCATATATATATATCTTTATAATAAATTTAATAAAGGCAAGTAACACATGTGACCTTTTCCAAAACCAACCTCCGAGTCCTCTGACCAAATT